GTCTACATGAACACTCCTGGGGGGTGTTCTGAATGACCTTTATGTTGCGGATAAGCAACACCTGTGCACCAAACGATCAGGTGCAAGCATCATCTGGTGCACTTTGAGAAACACAGTATTTGGTTAATTTGGGCCACAGAGGACAATTAGATATGTCACTGCAGGGAATGCATAGATGTAAATAATAAAATGTATGATAATTGATTTTTTCCCTCTCTGTCAGTGACTGGTAGCTGTTCCTATTATTTTCAAAAAATAAATTAAATGGCATAACTAAGATTTAGGTTAAATATTTGTCTTTTTACACGGTCACAGGCTAAACTCAAGATCCTTTCATCATCTTTTCAGAGTACTGGTACTCACCACATTAACACCTGTGTACTTCAACAAAACTGTCCAGGCTGTATGCCTTGTATTTGCTGATGTTAAAACCCTTTTGCACACAAAGCACCTTATAAATTATTTGTTTAACAGCAGCCTGAGACACTTTTCCCTATTGAAGAAGAGTGATTGTGCTTTAGAGGCCTGAAATCTAATACAGAACTACAACCACTTGACATCTCCATCGCTCCTGAGCACACATCTGACATGACAGAGTGTGTCAGCATCCCCTGCTTTCTCCTGGTTGCATTGTTTCCACCTATCCAGCTCAATCAGATCTGTAGAATAAGATAAACAAGGGCACAGAGGAGGAAAGAGCTCGTTGGGGTGGAGTTTGGCCAGAAAGTTTACCATCCCTGCTTCCATCCCCAAACAAAATCAATTCAAAGTGCCTGGGCAGCAGAATGGAACAGCAGCACTGGGTAACTGTAGTGAGGGGGTGAGGGTGCAATGCACACAAAGTGTAAACCAGTGTGGTGCAGCATTTTCACTTTAACACCTACTGAAGGCATACAAGTGTCCTGAAAGAGACAATATTTTCAACTTTGTTAAATTCCCTTAAAATTGTGTTTCATTTTAATGCTAGCTGCTGTAACATATTCAATTAAATTTGGATGTTCTTTATCAGATGCAGTGTGATGGAAGTCTTTAATGTTACAAGCACTGCATAGTATATAACATAGGCTTCCAAGCAGAATTGTGCACCAGTTAAACCACCTAAGGTTTTCTAAGTTCACGAAACAAATCGCTCTGCACCAATAGCTGAAAACCTAACATTGTCATGGCCTGAAGCGACCCGCCTCCCCATTACAATAAACACACACATATTCATGAAAGGATGGGGAGTAAGGGCAGTGCCTAACCTGCAGTGTGAGGACAAAGAGCATAAGAGACAAAATAGAGGGACACAGAGCTGTAGTGGGCTGCAGATGATAAAAGATTTGATGGGTTATGTAATGAACTGCAGCTATGGCTGGAAGAGAAGAGAGAGAGATGAAAGCAAAGTACAACACAGAGCAACGGAGCTGGTAAATACTCTGCAATACGGGCTATTCCTGTTCAGTCTCCTGAGTGTACGGGCGGTCCTAAAATTACATTTGAGGCACACAAAGTTGCAGAAACAAGTGGTTTCATGTCTGAAGCCATGCAAAAAATATCCGATAGTTCATATCAGAAATAAAATGTTAAAACGGAGCAGGTGATTAGCTCTTTTAAATCCACCAGAGACACAATTAGGCCTATTCTCAGCCACTTGCACAGACTAAGCAAAACACAGGTAGTCAGGTACTTGGTCAAGCAATAACAGTTCACATGTGCTCCTTCATTAAAAATGACCCACCCATCAATAAGTCTGTGTAAACTGGCATCTTGCACATACACACCACAACACTACGACCCTGTCCCCCATCAGCTGAGATTCAACAAGCAGAGCAGGCATGAGCCAACTTTTTACACCTCTTGCACTGGTTAATGTCTCGAGCACACACAATAACTGCAGCACTACTCACTTGCATGTTAGACCACTGGCAAGCTTCACCACTGCTGTATTGATGGAGAAGATCCAGTCCAGGAGCCACATGACAAAGAAGACACTAACCTAAAGCTCTGTTACACCAGCCTGGAGTAGACTAAAATGTATGGAGGTAAAGATTTTTCTAAAAGCTAGACCAAGAGTGCTGGTGACCTGGGACCAGGTCTGCGCTATTCTCTCCCTTTCAACTGTACAGTGGCTGCTGTGTCCTCTCAGCACAGCAGCCACAACAGAGCGACTGACACAACAGAGTGGGAGGGAAGGAGCCTGATGGGTGCATGGGTGAGAGAGAGAGAGCGAGCGAGTGGGACAGACAAAGAAGGGGATACACTTAGCTGTTTGGATTTTTGCCATTTACTTGATGGTTATCGATAAAAATGAGGCCCTTTGAAAAACTTCACATCACTGTTGGACGTTTACAATTTTGTAGCTTTGTGGAAAATGGCAAAGACAATCTCGCACAGGAGTATTTGTTGAGCAGGGCTGATTATTTTTATTGCTGATTAACCTGTCAGTCATCTTCACAATTATTCGATTAGTTGTTTGGTCTATAAAATGTCGGAAAATGGTTAAAAATGACAACAAGGTTTTTAAAAGCCCAAGATGACTTTTTTAGATGTATTGCTTGGACGCAACCCAAAATTAATCAGTTTACTGTCATTGGAGCAAACAAAAAATAAAAATACTAAAATTTTAGAAACTGGAATTAAGACAATTTTGATCTTTTTTCCTAACAATGTTGCTCTGACTGAACCATCTATTATCAATATATTAATTGATTAATTCCGCTCAATATTAAACCTGCACCAATTAATCAATTAATTGGTGCAGGTTTAAAATTGAGAGGGGGGAAAAAAACCATTGTTCATTCATAGTTTGGGTTAACAAGCTGTATCTAGATTCTCCATTGTCAGGGCAAATCAAATGAACCATTAGCCCCTCAGTGCCCCTGTGCTCCAATTTGCATCAGAAATTGTATTTCTTCTTAGATATTATTTAATACTCCTAAATATAAAGACATAAACATAATACATATATCTTTTATTATCCATAAATCCACTTGGAAATTTTAGAAAACCAAGTCTCATAATTAAGCCAGAACACGCCTATGAATCATCACATTTTACAGTTTTCGGTATCAAAGCGATCCAGGGATAGCTGTCAGTACAGCCTTGGGTCAATTACACAAAGTAATCACTTAAAAGTTATTCATACTATTTAATGGTGCCAAAAATCAAGTGAGCCGTAGAATATATGTTAAATTACCACAGCAGGGAGAAGAAACTGCAACCTAGTAACAGCTGGAAAGATCAGGCTTACAGCTTTAAATATTAATTTAGGACGTGATGTGGCGGCTGTGTTTATATCGTTCAGCTTAAAAATAAATAAATAAATAAAATAAACCTTTGCTTTGGCCAGCCTGAGTATTCTCTTAAGCCACTGCATGATGTAGTAGGTGATAGTCATCATTTACTTTACAGAAACAGAACAAAGTCAAACGTATATGATTCAAAACACTAAAATAACATTTAGCATTTTATTAATACTATTTTGTGTTCTCCAACATAATGGGTGAATGAGAGCGTTATAACCACATTATCTGAGAAATACCCCCCAAAAAATATATTCATTTTTGATGTTCCATACAAGTCTCAAAAATGTCAAAAAATATACAAAACTTCCAACATGACATGAAACAAACCAAAAGATTGTTTCATGTCTAAAGTATATTTCTAGCATCAACACACTTGTGGCTGGAAGGTCAAGTCACTGATGAATCAGCTCCCCTGACTATAATTACACTAAGAAGACAAAAGAACACTCCTAGCAGCGCCGTGACAAGAATATTGATTACTTAAATAAGTATAAGAGGAGGTGCAAGACTATGTTCTAGTCACTATAAATATCCCTTAGAGTGCAGTTAAATCCATCACTAAGGAATTGGCAGAATATGATACATACATAAATCTGCCTAGATCAGGCTGTCTTCCAAAAATGAGAGACAATGCAAGAAAGAGACTGGTGAGAGAGGCCACTAAGACACCTATGTCTCCTCTGAAGGAGTTACAGTCTTCAGCGGCTGAGATCAGACTGAGCATATGACAGCTGTTCCCAGTTCTTCATCAGTCCAAGTGTTACGAAAGAGAAAAAGCTCATATTAAATCTAGACTACAGTTCAACAGAAGGCGTTTGGGAGATTCTGAAGTTAACAAGAAGATTCTTTGATCTTATGAGACCAAAATTGAACCTTTTGGCCAACAGACGAGACACAGACTAGATAAACACTGCACACCATCACAAACACCCATCCAAATAGTGGAAAGCATGGGGGTGGCAGCATCATGATGAGGGGACGCTTCTGGCAGCAGACCCTGGAAGGCTTGTGAAGGTCGAGGGGGAAATGAATACAGCAAAGTATTGGGAAATCTTGGAGGACAACCTGATGCGGTCTATTAGAGAACTGTGACTTGAGAGAAGAATAAAAGATAACAAGGTGAAGCCCTTGAGCAGTTTTGCACAAAAAAGGGGGGTAAAATTGCAGTGTGCAGCACAGGAACACACTTGAGTAACAAAATATCAGAGGCACAAAAGTTCACGTTTAAAAAAATAATAATAAAACAGTGAAAACTGAACTGAAGCCTGACTTTTAAAAAAAACATATCGGTCAGAAAAATCAAAATTAAACATGTCACCCAAATTCAAATTGTGGTCGCAAGATCAGTATTTCAGAGCAGAATTGAAGTGTGGCCCCTTGAGGTCATTTAGTGTCAAAAGCTTTTTACATTACAATGTACAAAAAAGTGTCTGAAAAGTCAAAAAATTACAATTTGAGTCAGACAATTTCCTTTTATGCTATAAAAGCCACTATTTGCCTACTTAAAAAGCACTAATATGCTTTAAATTGCTTCCATGTCATCTTTAATAAACTAGCATATGACTTAAATGTCAAAACCTTTCCTGTATACTTCTGTAGTTATTTTATACTCTCATGGCATATCATGGCAAATGATTAATAAGAACAAAGTCTACAGCCAAGTGACAAAACGCAGCTGAGTCGTTCTCCTGCTTGAGGCGCTTTTCCACTTACTTTTTACCAGGTTTCCTCGGCTTTGTCCTCTTCTTCCTTGCTTGCATCGCGAGTACTGAGAAGTAAAGAAAAAAAAAAACAGCTGGATAAAAAAAAAAAATCACAAACCTCACAGTTGTGTTTTCTTTAACCAGGACACCGAGTTGTTGCTCGAAGCTCGTCCGCTTACTTTAATATTTTAGCGAGAGGGTACCTGGACTGGTTGGGACTGCAGGTGTAAAAACTGGTAGTTACAGCTCACATTAGCAGCTAGAGAGGCTAGCGGGTAGCCCAAGTCTCTCCAACGGCAACTCAACCGGCCTCGGCGATGTGTTACCCCATTAAAGAGGAGGCATTTTAAGTTAGCCGCTAACAGCAACTTGGTGCTTTTCACTGTCAGTGTTACGCGTTTGTCAATTACAACGCGAAACCCCCGGTAAGTTTGTCAGCAGTCTTAGGGACTCGTTTATTTTTATTCTCTCCCGAGTTAAAGTTTTGGCGCATATATTGTCCTCAGTCTGATGCTATCTGATGGCTACAGCTAGCATACAGTTAACACTCATATACACACAGCAGCAGAGCGCATGGTCCACTTTTACTTTTCATCAATTGTTACGTGTCTTTTCTCACGTTACTCGTTACTGTCCTTATTTTTTCTCTTATAAATGTCACCGACAGAAGCTTGTGTGTCCCAAGTTCTCCGAGTAAAAAGCATTTTGATTTAGTTAGCGACGTTACCTTTTCTTTCCATGCTGATAACCAGTCAAGGGATAAGCTGCGTTCAGGGACTGTTGGAAATGTCGAAACTCTAAAGTGCGCGAAAATGAGCCAACTGAGTAGTGTGAGCTGTAGGGGGCAGTGTGTATGGAAAAGAAACCAACGGAATTCATTGTTCTGTTATAAATATCTCAAAACAACATTTAAAACAACATGAATATAGCCATGTAGCTCATTTGTTATCCTGAAACCACATTACAGCAAAGCTCAGAAGTCCTACATTTTGAGATGTTATATTTATTTACATATATTGTGTTTATTATACAGAATCATTGTTCTGTTTTCGTTTGTTTTGATTTTCTTTGTTAGTTTTTTTTTTTAATTGCAGTAATTGTATTATTTCTATGAGGAATATTTCCTCTCATAAATAATAATAATAACAATTTTTTAAAAAAAAACTTTGGAAAGACTATATTAACACTGCAGGCCTCAAAGTAGAAATTCAACAAGAATATTGGTGACCAACTAAAAATGAGTCAAAACACAGTTACAGCAGTAATCAAGAGGTATAGTGCAAGCTTATTTCAGTATTTTTCTCCAAAGATACAAAAGAAATTATTCCTTGAGGTCAAGTGATGTTTTTTTTTTTTTACCGTTCCACATGTCCGCGCTGAACTGGGGAAGAAAGCATTCAGCCTTGCTGTCCCTACTGCATGAAATGAACTGCAGAAAGACCTAAACCTGCCAGACCTAATCGCACCTGAAGCACTTAGCAAAATTCTACATTAGAGGCAATGGGAAAGAACTAGTCAGTGCTCCTGTTTTTGATTTGTTATGTGCACTTTAACTCCTGCACTTTAAAATGCCAGAATTTGCACTATTTGTTTTTTATTTGTAAAACTGCAATCAACTCATGTAACTTTATATATCTGAAC